CTAACACCCCCCTCTGTTACAGGCCACTCTTACAGAACACGAAAAATTTTTTGAGAGCGACGTTGGAGCATTTCATAGACGACTTTGATTGCTTCTTGTTCGTGCAGAAGAGCCAAATAAACACTATCGTAGAGCGTATTGTGTCATTATTCGAACCAGGATATATCAGGAAGAGCTATGACGAGCTGTTGGACTTTGGTAATGTCATGATCTAATGCGATGTTCACCTATTCGATAGGTACTCCTTCGGAAGACATCCAACTCGAAGTCATAAAAGCTCAAAACAATTTCTTGTTCCGTTACCTAATAGGTTGGATGGGGTATGTTACCAATCCCAAAATCATAAAATGGAAATTCAGATTGTTCTTTCACTTTTCAACAGAAGCAGCGGAGTTGAGATACTACGATTCAAATTCTATGAAAGTGCACAATCCGTTGAAGGAGAAAGGTAATGGGAAGCTTCTGAATGACCATGATCTCATTTTTTTTTAGAGGAAACTGCCAATTACTTGTCAAACTTGGTGTATAATCCTACTTTTGAAGAAATCAAAAGATATGAGAGTTTTGAGTTATTGAAGGTCTGTACCTAACTCTGGTCTTCATCTTACTTCCAATCCGTTACAGATGATCCACAGGGGTAATACGAAAAGAATTGCTAAGAGCTGCGTTGGTTCGAAAGTTTTTAAAAAACTGGATGACGAAACGTTGACAGAGTTTAGCTCCGTCTTTGACATTTCTGTTTCAGAAAGCTGAAGTTACTGAAGTACTTTGAAAACTTCAGTGCAGTCGCAAAACGAAAAATCACAAATGAACTCCCTCAACATTCGTCAGTTTTCAAATTCTTTTTTCTAAAATTAGCATCAGTTTCAGACGGCAGTTTCCAGGTCTCACAAAGTTTTTTTCTTCAATCGTCATAGAAGGGATCAGAAATGATTTATTCCCAAAGTAAATTTCCAGCTTATCTGTTCTACTCATTCATATACCCTATAGGGAGAATATTCTTAGCTGCTCAAAGAAAATACAAGATTGCCTTCAATATCTTTATCTTTACAAGCCAAAGAAAGACACTCATATATTCGAAACGTTGAACCCTTGCTATGATCCTGTACCAGGTATTCCATATAGTAATACCAACAGCTTGTTCATCCTCCTTCTTCCAGTACCGTTCATTGAACACTTGAAAAAAAAAGGATTCAGTTTGGATTTTCAGAGAGCTGTCTTCTACAACTCGATGTATTTCTTCAAAATATTTTCACTACAAGTTATCGGGTTTGAAATTGTGTTCCATTCGAGGTGGAATATGCTTTTTCAGGGTTTATAGGAACTTTGTAATCGAGGAAGAACGTTGTACTACACATAATGAGTACAAGCACAAGCTTGCTGCAAAGAACATAGGTATCTCTCTTTCATCAAAATGTTGTATCCACGGAGACTCTAGAGTTTATAAATGATAATGTAACAACGTTCGAATCAACTGATGATGAGGAAGGTTCGATAGTAAAGAACACCACATTCCAGACACCCAG